AATGTTGTAAACTTTTTAACCGTGCATCGCACGGGGAAAATACTAGTAATATATTAATATGCTAATCCAAGCATGCTACGTATATTCATAAATTATTGTTATAATTATACATTTATATAGCATGCATTAAGGTTGGATTTAACATATTATTAACTCATAAATTCATTATTAAATATCGTTCAATTTTGGATCCATAGATCAATTTTATGTATTATTACCTACTAAAGCAGCTTGTTTGGTTTCCTTTTAATTTGACATATTTTAGTTTTATGTGTATCTGGGACTTTATAACCTATTTTGAACAAGCTATTTGTGACCTATCTTGGGTCATTAAAGCATGGATCTCATCATTTTGATTGATATTTAAATAATAATTGTAGCTCTTTTATTTGATTATAACATGTTTAATTTATTAAGTTTTAATTATTACTAACTACTATATTTTGGTATTCATCGTTGGTAATAATATAATATTAAGTTTTGGGTCTACTTCAGTATTAGACCATTTTTCATCCATGTTATAATTTACTTGGGCCATTGAGGTTTATGAGCCTAATTTGAGTGATTAAGTGCTATAATTATTGTCTTGGCCTGTTTAGAGACATTAAGGATTTAATTGTTATTTTGGCCATTAAGAACTATAACTATTGTTTAAGTTGATTAAATTTTTAATCTATCAATAGTTTTTCAGGGCCTTAATAATAATATTAAGTCTTTAATTTTATGGCAAAAGCAATATAGTTTGTATATTATTGTCTGTATAATGGTGATTTGATAATAGTCATGGTTAATTATTATGTGGTAAATTGAGATTAGTATTTTGCATCCCTTAATTACAGTTTTACCTTTATTGTAGTTATTATTAAGTTTAGGGGCTAATCTTATTTTATTACCTTTCATAATAATTATTATTTCATGGTAATCTGCTATATTTAGTATATTGGCATGATTACCACTTCATTTTACATGACTATTAATGTTGGTAATTAAGTTCTACCAATAAATTTTTAAATGTACCATTGGACGCTGCATCGAGACTACTAACACCGACAGTGAAGATGGGAGAATTATGGAGTTTTTCTTCTCTTGTAGATCATCATCGTTGTTAGCGTAATGGGGGGATGTGGTTTGCATCATTAAGGTTAGTCATTAATTATCTTTTACTGTTATTATTGATAATTAGTGCTACAGTTACAGTTAACCGCTAATTTGAACTAGTCACATATTTTATCTTTAGAAAAATGAAAACATTTAAAGGTGCATTACCATACTTTAGTTTGTCGTTATTATTAATATTAATAATGATTATAATGTTACTTATTGCTATTAATAATTAATTAATGATAACATTAATATTGTTATGGTATTCAGATATGTATCTTGAACTATTTCCAAATAAATTTATGTGATAATATTCCAGTACAGAAAATAATTTTCTTAGACATTAATGTTTTCCGGACTTCAAATTTTATTAAGTTTTCAAAATTTTATCCGAAAACATTTATAAATGTCTGCGATTTTAACCATTGATTTTTCATATTTAGTCTCCTACATAATGTGATAATATTATTATGGTTATTTATTGCTATTTTAGCTATTTGTAATTTTGCCATTCATAATAATAATATTATTATCTGGGTTATGGAGAGTGATTTTGAATCAATTTAGTAATTTTGAAAAAACATATTTTCTAGGCAATTGACAATTGCCATTAATTTCATAATTCATTTAGTTCTTTGAATTATGATTTTAGATCTGATTGCCCATATTTGGTTAAGTATGAATAAATGAATATTTGATGTAAATTCATATTCTTTAGTTGGTTCATACTCTTTAGATTGTTTTATGCATTCAGTCACATTATGTGCATAGTATTAAGTTTAATTATGCAATTAGAGATTGTGAGTTTTGATTTACAAATGATAGCATATCCTTTTGGTTTGATATTGTTTGAATTTGTAAATTTAGATATTTCTCATAAATTTGATCTTTATGCATTAAAACATTTTGTCATGGATTTATTGTTTAAAAATTTTAAAGTATATATCCAGTACATTATTATTCAAAATGTTGAGTCTCTTTTGGTTTGGACTCATTGATGTTTGAATATTAAATTTATACTTTGAAATCTCATATTGTACATTGCTTTAAGTTATGCAGTTTATTTGGAATATATGAGTTTAATGTTTAATTTATGCATATTTGTCCTACGCATAATATTCTGTTTTTTAAATTATGCAATTTTATTATGCCTTTAGCAATGCATACTTTAGTATGCAATTATATTAGTTCCTATTTAAGTTAGACTTATGCATAAACTTTAGTTGCGGTAGTGCCTGAATTTAAGCACGTTTAGTCTGCTAATTTAGTTCACCTTTTAAGCTTTAATCATAGGTGAACCATACAATTTTTGGTGTATACCCTACAGTTTTAGGTTCATACCCCCAAACAGTTATAAAGTCTATATGAATCGGGGAGACGTACTAGTTTTAATGGTCATGACTTAAGGTCATATTGTGCCACTAGTCTCCTTAAATTGATACTCTATCTAACGAATTGTTTTTCAGTGAGACTTAGTCTCTAACCACCTTTCCTTGGAGTATATTTAGATTTTCCCATATCAATCTGGTATAATCTGTTTGTCAAAATTTTAAGTATTCCTTGCCAATGTGATTTGATTTCGGTTCATTAAAGAATAACCATAGCATCTTTTAAGTTACTGAAGTCTCTTAAGGTTTCAATCTTGGTTAATTAAGGAATAGCCACAGCATATTCAACTACCTAAGATTATTAAGTTATGATCTTATAATTTTAATATGGTTGGGGAGTAGCCACAGCATCCTTAATCAGTTAAAATTATATAGGTTAGGCAAGGAATTAATAATTTTCTAGTGATCTTATATTAGGGCCTTAATTAAGTGGTGCAAGTGGACTACGCTTATTAAGTGGTCTGGTTGGACTGAATAACTAGAAGTTGTTAGTCCACCAAACTCTGTGCCTAATATAATCTTCGATGGATTGATGGAATACATGATGATTGAGGATAGCACACTCAGTTACGGTACTCATACTGCTCAGTAGACACCAATACACCATCTAGGGTTCTGAGTCAAGTATGAGACAAAATATGGCTAATGGTCTACCGTTCGGAGGCAACATAACAAGAACATCAACTGTGGCTGGAGATCAACACGACTATCGCTTCCGCTCATACGAGGTCAGGTTTCTCGTATACTATTATTAAGTATAGTTAGATTACTTATATCTAACAACAAATACTTCTCCAACGAATGTTTTAAGCCACTGAACTATTTGGGAAACAACAATTAAGCCATCAAACTCAAATAATCCTCAAATAAACCATTGAACCCGGAAAAAATGAGCAATTAATATTTTTAATAGGTTAACTCCAAGTTTTTGCTTACTGAATTGCCAAATGTTTATATTATTTAGGTTTTTGTAATTATAATCCACCTACATAGTAATATATTTTAAAGTAATTAAAATCAAAATAGTTTTGTCATGTCTAGATCTAAATTATTTATTTATTATTATTTTTTAAACAGGAGATCTAGTGAAAAAATAATAAATAAATAAATCAATCAATCAAATCTCGACAAGAAAAATTTATTTTGATTATACTTACTTTAAAATATATTACTATGTAGGTGGATATAATAAAAGAAACGTAAATAAAATAAAAACTTAGCAATCCAGTCAACAAAAACCTAGAGTTAACCTATTAAAAATGTTAATTGCTCTTTTTTTTTTCTAAGTTCAATGGCTTATTTGCTCTTTTTTCCCGGGTTCAATGGCTTATTTGGGGGTTATTTGAATTCGATTGATTAATTGCTATTTTCCAAATAGTTCAGTGGCATATTTGTATTTTATCCCATCTTTAAATATCGTTAAATACAAAGGCATTTTAATCTTTTTTTATACAAAGTATGTTGACCCGCTATATTTTTATTTTTATTTTTCTTAAAAAAATTCATAATTGAAGACCTAAATGTCCTTTTATTTTACTAAATTTCAACGATTTTTTTTACGGATGACAAAAAATGATCGTTTCACAATAATATTATGACCAAAAGGGAAAGTTCTGAAAAAAAGTGACTAAAAGTGAATTGTCATTTCTAAATCTATGACAACAAATAAAATTAACTCTAAATATTACACTTTTCCTCCTATATATATCTCTGATTAGACTTTAGAGTAACAATTATAAATTAATTTATCCAATAATTAGTATTACAATATGTAACCCTTCAACCCCACAAAATATCATACTTTTCTTCATAAATATAATCATTTTGCCCCTCATTAGTATTATATACTTTTTATCATAATATTCTAATATGCATACTTTTAAATTGAATTAATATCACTTTTGGCCCCACGATTTATGAGGTCCTATTAATTTTGGTGTACGACGTTTAATTTTTTCAATTTTGGTGCCTAACTTAAAATTTTTTATCAAATGTCGTCCTTCCGGCCAAATTGGTCAGAAATTTCCGTTGGCTTTTACAGTTTTAAGGGCAAAATGGTTAGCTCCAAAGAAAAAAAAAAAAATTCCTCCATTTATTTACTGAAGGCCAACTGTATTCTCCTATGTGTAATCGATCGAAGAGAATAATCCCAAATTTGTTTAAACCAATAAACATACAAGATGAAGAAATAATGAGAGAAAATTTCAATTTAGGTCCACGGACTATTGGAGTTATGTTAATTACAACACTTGACTTTCAAAAATGTTAATTTAGTACTTTGACTATGCAATTCTTATCAATTTTGGTCACAACGGTCAAATTACCGACCAAATGTGACCGAAAAATTTTAACTCACCAATTAATCTTAAATAGTAGGGGCAGAAACGTCTTTTATCCTAATCTCCTTCACCTACCTCCTTCCCTTCAGCACGTCCACCGAATTCTACCACCATAATCTCCGCCGCAGTGATGCTAAAGATCTCCGCTCCGATTATCACTGATTTCGCAGTCAGCAATGTTATGTCCTTTTGATAGCAATGAATATGATTGATTATGGGCCATTGGATGCGAGGAGGTTAAGGATTGCACGACCATTGATTATGGATGCAGATGGGCCTTAATATTTCGGAGATATTTTTAGATGGCAAAGCAATGAGAAACCAGACATGACACAGCATTGAATTTCACCACCTTCGACACACTACAGTTGGTTTTTTCTGTTACCGGAGCACCGAATATCGGAAAGAGTGGTGGGTTTATTTTGCTAGGGAGAATGGGTGAAGCGCAGGCGAACGGCGGCAGAACGGAGTTCGGAGTTCAAGAAACAAAGCAGATGGAAGTAATCGAGGCGAAACAGGAGAAGAATGGGGAAACAAACAGCGCAGAACCGCCGCAGACGGCTGCGGCAGCGTTGAGGTGGGAGAGCTTTCTGACGAAGATGGTGCTCAGAGTTTTGTTGGTGGAAGCTGACGATTCTACTCGCCAGATCATTGCTGCTCTTCTCAGAAAATGCAGTTACAGAGGTTAGATCCATGTTCAAAGTTTGATGTTTGACTTAGAAAACTGTAAGAAACCTTAATCTTGATCAAGTTGGGGTTGGATTCGGAGATTACTATAAAGTTTTTGAAATTTAGTTTATGAGAAAGTTCTTGAATTGCAGTTAGTGCCCAAAGGTTATAGACAGGCAACCTATGAAAGGTGAAAATTGGAACCAAAAGATCACTGTGTTTTCCCAATCTAAAAATCTGATTTTTTATGGGATTTTGAAAAGTCATTTGTTGTGTTCTTGCAGTTCCTGATGGTCTGAAGGCATGGGAGGTGCTGAAAGAAAAGCCCAGCAATGTAGACCTGATCTTGACAGAAGGCGAAACGTGTTAGCTCCTCCGCCTGAGCAACTATAAGAAGTGAGATTTGAGAATGAGGTCGGAGAAGAGGAGAACGAAGCCAGACTGCCAGAGGCGATAGCAATGGCGTATCCTATTTGGACATAACATGAAATGAGGACTTTGCCCCTTTCATTTAAGATTAATTGTTGATTTAAAATTTATTTTGCATAGTCAAAGTACTAAATTAATATTTTTGAAAGTCAAAGTGTTGCAATTAACACAACTCTAATAATCAGTAGACCAAAATTAAAATTTGCAAGTGAAATTAAGATGTTGTAAAAATGGTGTGAGCAAAGTACCACTTTAGTTTTGCCCAGTCCTCATTCCTCCTCAAATAAGTAGTCAAAATTGAAATAGTACGGAGTATAACATAGTCGTTGCTTCCACTGCCAGTATTTGCCATAACTTTATTCTCCTCACAAGTTGACCGTAGAAAATGGCGTATTTAGTTCAACTGCTCTCCGTACTCCTCTCCTGCTTCGCTCTCTTCTTCGTACCAGGTGCTGCAGCATTACGACTTCCGGTCGGCCTTTTCTCGACGGGCGTGACGAGCTGGACACCAAGGCACTTAAGAAATTTTCTATCTCGAATATCTTAAAACGTGCACCAAGGCCAAACTGCTGTTCTGCAAAATCTTTAACATCCAACCCACATAACCACTGTGGAACTTCTTCATGAATCATGAGATAATCCTAATCTTAGACAGGAATTTTCGACATTCAGGAATAAACGAAGTGCTTACGGTCATATAACTACCCAAAACCAGGCAGATTACCATAAATTTCTCTTCAATTTGGAAAAAATTTGACACCAAACTACCATAAACACGAAATCAACAAGCATTAGTATTTTGTTCAGTCATCTTAAATGCCAGGATTGTTGTGATCACTAATTAGTAACAAATGGAATTATGATTATGCAATGCAGAAACACGAAATGAACTAAGGAAGAAGATAATAGATGCTTACCAGGGACGGAGCCAGGAATTTCGTTGGTGGGGGGGGGGCAAAGAAGCAGGGATAGATCCAGAAATTTTTTTCATAATTTGAAAAAAAATATCTAAGAAATATAGGTATAAATATTATTGTTGGATATAAGCAAAAAATAAAATCCATCCAAACTTTATAAAAATATTCCTAACAAAATATGAAACATAATTAATTTGATAAAATAATTTAAAAAAAAAAACACATTATAAATTACATATCTCATTATTAATATAAAAAAATGTTATGTGTGTTTGTTAAATATTTAAAAAAAAAACCACTCCTGCTCTTTCCTACTACGTATGCTGACGCCCTCAATAAATCCTCTATTTCCAAAGAGAATCCTTCGTCGAGAACTGAGTATTTATATTTTTACCCCTCTTCGGTCTTGTGCGCTTCTGTCGTGTCCAGGTTTTGTTTCTCTAGTTTTCCTCAACGGAATTCCATTTTTTCCGGTATGCCCATACTGAAGAGAACACCACTCCGATCACCACCGAGACGCCGGAAATTAAAGAAACCGCACCGGACCCGGGTCTCGCTTTACCTCTCTCTCCAAGCCCGTCACTCCGATCACCACCGAGACGCCGGAAATTAAAGAAACCGCACCGGACCCGGGTCTCGCTTTACCTCTCTCTCCAAGCCCGTTTGATGAAAAAGTTGGATCTTTCGGAGCTTCTTGATTTGGGAAAATTTTAGGGTTTTGAGCTTCTGGCTCCGGACATTGGGTCTCCAATGGGAACCCACGGTGGCGTTGAAGAGATGAGCAGGAATGAGGTTGGATAAGTTGTTGTCGGAGAGACTAACGGAAGGTTGAAGAGATGAGCAGGAATGAGGAATGGCTGAAAATGACTACCATCAGAGAGATGCTTGCATAAAGGAGATTAATTGATATTCCTTGAAATTTGAATTTCATAACATAACAGAGACATGTGCGTCAAGGACACACCGGATTTCAGTAACTTCTTCGGGTGTGTTTGGTTCACACAAAGGAATCGGAATCGGAATGGGTATCAAATACTTGATAATGATAATGGATTTTGGTGAAAATATTTAACATGTTTGGTAGTAGGGTGGAATGGGAATGGTTACTAATAGTAGTGGTTGAGAATGAATAAGGGAATGAAACCCTTATGGCATGTTTGGTTCATGGAATAGATCAGGAATGGAATAACATTCCTTGGAATAGACCTATTCCATAGTTTGGTTGGATCATTTTGTCATGGGAATAACATGCCTAGGAATGAGCTATTACCTTCGCAAGGGGAATAGCCATTCCTATGGGGGCCTTGGTATTAGCTATTCCCATGTCCTTAAGAATAACTTTTATATCACAAATACCAAAAATACCCTTCACACATTATATAATATTTATATTTATTTAATAAATATAATGTATTATATAAATGTGTGTGTGTGTATATATATAAAAGACTCTTTAATTATGGAGCCTTGGCTCCTAAATTAAGCAGCTTGCCCATCTGCATGCCAAGCGAATGGGCATTGCGATAGCGGATGAGCATTGCAAGCTTGCCTAGCGGATGAGCATTGCAATTTAAATTATGGAGCCTTGAGGCTCCTTTTATAGGAGTCTCAAGGATCCATTCCTTACTTCTCCAACCGATGTTGGATAAGTGGGAAAATAAATATAAATATAAATATATATTTGTATAATAATAATAATAATAATAATAACCAGGACTATGTGGTCTAATGGTATCCGGGTTGGACTTCCATTTGGAAGGTTGTAAGTTCGAGCCTCAGTGGAGGCGTTATTGGCTCTTTGTGTTTCAGTAGGTTGAGAAAGTGCATTCACAAAAAAAAAATAATAATAATTATTATTATTTTGTATAAGGGTATTTATGTCTTTAAAACCTATTCCATTTCTATTCATTTAACCACTCAAACACTAGAATACAATTACTAAAGTCTATTCCTTTAGCCAACCAAACAACAGAATACAATTCCTATTATATTCCTTACATATTTCATTCCCTCTGGAATAACATTTCTATTCCCTTCAAATTCATTCCGTGAACCAAACGTGCTGTTATTGTATTTGGGTATGAATTTTTCAATTGATGGGATATTCAAAACTCATAGTAGTGTTCTAAAAACCTATCAACCAAACAACAACAATCACTTTCATACCCATTCCTATGGGCAAAACCCACCAACCAAACACACCCTTCCATTTTAGCTAAAATATCACGTAGAATAATAAAGAAATCCTCCTGTAGATAGAAACAGAAGCGGTAGACTCTTTGAACAATGCTAGAAGTAACCATATTGAACTAGACAAAGTTGGCCACAATTTGAAGGCCCGATGCACAATGTATCAATGGCAGTAGAAAAAAAATAATATATATATATATATATATATATATATATATATATATATATATATATATATATATATATATTGAAAGTTAAAGATGAAATTTTTATTAAAATAAATGTTCAATACAAGAAGGAATCACAGAAAGCCAAGACACAGGACCAGACTGAGAACGAGTAGTTCTAGCAAGAGTATGGGCATACTTATTCGCTGATCTTGGAATAAAATGAATAGACACTGATTCAAAGTGTCGTTTTAGATTTTGACAATTTCGGCACTCCTCAAGGATACAACCTGCATACGAATGATTACGTACCGCACCATCAAAACACCTGGTTACCATCTGACAATCCGAAAATATAATCACATTGTTCTCTCCTCTTTCCTTAGCCCAAGTTAATGCTTCCTTGATCGACATAGCTTCAGCAAGAAAGACATCACTCAAACATCTTATAGGGCCATTTTTTTGCAGCCACGTACTCTCCCTCACCATTTGTCATATAAATACCAAAAAATCCGCATTAACATAAAGAAGTTTTGCTCCTGGCAAAACGTTTGAAACCTCCGATGAGACTGGAGCTACCGGACGACCATATGCATGCGGCTGCAAAAATTCCTCCCATTCTCCAAGTAACCTGGTTATATCAGCTTTAACAACTAGCGGATGCCACACTTCATTATTCTATACAACCGCAACGCATTACGGTGCTTCCACACTACCCAGCATACTGCAAGACATTGTTTAGCCATCTGATGATCATTTGACGCCAGCCACCTACTCACACAGACCACAAAATCTTCTTCATCTTCAACCACAATGGCTGTACATGTGCACAATCCAGAAATAAATGCCTCAAGGTCTCCGGTTGTTGCTTACATAAATGGCAATTCACATCAACATTCATCCTTCTCGACCATTGCACTGCCATTGTTGGGAGGATGCCATGCAAACATCTCCAATTAAGCAAAGTTACCGACCTTTGGAGGGATCTTGAGCCTCCATAGCTCCTTCCAAGCAAAGTTGATCATCTGTTCACTGTTATTAAGCACTACAATCATTTTATAGCCCTGTTTTACAGTATATTCTCCTATAATATCTTCGCGCCAACACCAGCTATCGTCAAAAGTAGGAGCCACAGGAATTTTGCGTTTCAATGCTATGTCCCGAGCATCAAAGATGTTTTCCAGCTTCAGTTCATCCCAATCTTTCGTCACCGGATCTATCAACTCGCTTACTTTCATGCATGGATCTTGGCTCAAGCTTGGTGTTTGAATGAAAGGATTAGCCGCATCCGGTAACCATGGATGCATGCTTCCACACCTACCTACTCTCCCCATTACCAATACGTTTTACACATCCCGTAGAGAGTAAGTCTTTTCCTGCCAAGATTGAACGCCAAACATAGCTAGGATTAGTTGCAATCTTCGCGTCCAGGAACTCACCATTAGCATAATAACGAGATCTGAAAATCCGAGCTACTAGAGATGAGGGGTTTGTAGAAGACGCCAGCCCTGCTTTGCAAGAAGTGCAAGATTAAATCTATTAAGCTGTTTAAATCCAAGGCTTCCAGCAGCTTTCGGGGTACACATGCGTTGCCATTGTTGGAGTTTAGTACCGGAAAATGTCGCAGTAGCACTGCTTTTTATATTGGCTAATTTGGGAAAAGTAAGGGAATCCTGTGTCGTGTGAATACACTACCTTAAAAGTAAATTGCCGGGATAACCGGGTGCTTTCGACTGGTTGCACACAGACTTTCTACGAGATACCGGCACAGGTATTCGCAGTCACACTAGGACCCAACTTAGAGCTCAGATA